CGCGAGGCTAAACAGCTACTTCCATGGAGCAACGTGGAGCAGAAAGAGACTCGAATCTGCGCTGTTTCCTTTGACTGGATAGGGAAACCTGACTACAGGCGCTGAACGGATCTGGAATTGCTACAGAGCACGATTACTGCCTAGCTTCGCATCACTCTCCTTTGGAATGGGACTGTCTGTTGGGGTTTTCTGTCCTGTTTCATCATTTCAAGTTGTCTTTCTGGGTGGCAGATACCTTATCTTTTAAGTTCTTGGGTCCTGGAGTCACGAGGGGTGGCATCCAAGGAGCTACCCCAGGGAGCCTGACATCTGCATTTGTCCCTGCCGCAAGGTGGGGACCACGGACGTGAGATCAGGTGAGATTTTGAGGGTCTTGGGAAGAGGTGAGTGTGTTCACAGGAGAGGTGTGAGTTATTGTGGCCAGGGGAGAAGCTGGGGCAGATGAGTTGCAAAGACAGGTGCAAGAGCTCCCCCACCCCCTGTGCCCGACGCAGCCCCTCTGAAATGCGACTTGGCCTTTTCTTCCATCAGGACTCGGCATCTAGTTCTCTACCCCATGACTCTGCGAAAGCTCTGTGACTTGTTTTGACCCTAAAATGTGGCAGAAATGACAGCATACAACTTCCAGAGACCAGGCTTCAGGGGACATTGCAACCTTTCTCTCGCTGTTTTGAAGCATTGCCCAGCCCGCTTGTAAAGACCACGTGGAATTTGCGCCGTCCAGACACGCAGCGGAGAGGCCCTGTCCAGGCCCCCTGTGCCTGCCCGCAGGACTGCAGAAGCGACGCCAACCTACCAACCCAGTCCCGAGAAATTCTTACTCTTGTTTTAAGCCACTGGGTTTTGATGTTATGAAGCCAAAGATAATTGATGCAATCATCATCGTTGATTTTTAACATTTTCCATAACCTTATTGTAACATATCAAAATTCTATAAAATATACAATTAAGTAGAAAACTGACAAGTTTTATTTATTCATATGGTCTTTAAGAATATCAAAAGCTTTGAAGTTTGCTATCTTTTCTATCTCACTAGGAATATAAAAATTTTTGAATGAATATCTGTTGCTTGGAAAGAGGCAAGGTTCGTGCAGAAGCAATCTGGCATCTGTCTGAAGAGGCAGCTGATCAGGACCATGATGCATTCTCAGGGCACACTCAGATGCCCCACGTGCTAGGCAGGCAAAGACAGAAGACTCCCATGTATTTGGGATAAAATGATGAGGAAAACCCCAATTGCCATTGGAAAAATGGACATCAGTTTCTATACATTTCAATTCACCAAGTTTTCATAAAAGGCATTAAATTTTTTGTGTACAATACTAAATTCTGCAAGGATTACTGGTAAGAACTAAAAATAGTACTTTATCTGCAAAAACTCATTAATGATGCTTTCAGCAAGTGGTGGCCTTGGTCAGAATCAAATACATGATAGTCTTCATCAGAAATGCTGGAACTGTGTTTAAACTCAAAGGAACTGCTCTTGATTTTTTTTTTCTGTAGGTGCAGATAAAAAAGTGCCACATGGGATAAAGCAGGCTGAAGGTGCTGGTGAATAACCAGAAATCATCTGTAGTTTTTCTGATACTTCTCCTTGGTATAATCAAACATCAGATGTAAACACAAGCTTGGGATCTTTGTTCTCGTGTTCTGCGTGTTTCAGTTTTCCAAAAGTCTTCACAGATGTATTGGAAGACTCTCTTAAAAAGTACTATTTCTGTAGCATGTGCTCATGGCACTAGAGGGTTCTGTAGGTGGGAATCCGAAGGCATCGACATGGAGCGCCCAGCCTTCTGCTAAGGCATCCTCTATAAAACCACCTTGAACTGGGCTTCACTGACACTGAGTTGTAATATTCCAACAGGAGCTTCCACAAAAAGTGTTCCCTCTTTTGTCATTCCAGGAACAATTATGCCTCCAATTTTGGTTGTGCTAACCAAGAGAGTTTTTATTTTAAGCTGGGATCAGACCTTACCACTGAACGAAACAGGGATTCATGCCGGCAGGACCTTTGGGGCAACATGGTATGAGGTATGTAGTTGGTACCTTCTAATAAGTCCATGTTTTAATCCTTGCTTCAGCCCAGTTTTCTGGACCAAGGCTCAAAAAGTTGCTGCACCTTCTAGAATTTTTTTTTAACTTTCTGTAAGTATAGCAACAACATGCTTATTTTATGCAGGATCTAGTTGCTTACAGGGAAGAGACTTCCTCCCCGGAGGATCCAGACCAGCATGCCTTGTTCCCCTTGCTCTGCACTTTCTGCCATTTTATCTTCTGTGCCAATTTGGGTTAATGTTTTCAGGGCCCTACTTTCATCACATTCCCCTGTATTAATTAATACCCATTTATGTTCATACCAATGGTTTTTGAGGTAAGGAATAGTGTACTGTCCATCACAGTCACATGGGAACTTTTCAAACTATATAAAAAAATTTCCCCATCATTCTGCCCCTGGAACAGTGTGGGCATACTTGGGATCTTTATTTAAATCTACTTTGTTGAAAACTACTGACCTACATGATATATTCTGTAATTCTTTGTCTTATATTCAAGAAACTCCTTAATCTGGACTCCATTTACTCTTCTCTTTTAATTCATTCAACAATTATTTTAAAATATCACCTGAGCATCTATCATATGCTAGAAATTATTCTAGGTGCAGGATATTCAGGGCTGACCACTAACCATTGCCATAGCTAAGAATTTTTGAGTGTCTGTTGCGTGCCAAACAGTTTTAAGTGACCTACTTGATTTACTTGTATGAAAAACTATGAGGAAGTGACCATTATTATCCTCTATTAGCAGATGAGGAAACTGAGGCACTAAGAAGGTGAATAGTTTGTTCCAGAACACAGAGTAAGTGACACAACAAGATTCCCTACCTGGGCAGCCCAGGTGGAGCTTGTGTTCCCTCCTTCTATGACTCCACGTGGTGGATAAGGTTCCCCAACCTTGGGACAGACAAGAGCTTGCTCTTATGGAACTTACCCTCTAGTGGGGATAAACAGACATTAAACAAATAAACAGAAGAATAACTTAGTTACAGAGAATTATGGATGTTATAAAGGAAATGAAACTTGGTAATAGAATAGAAAGCAAATGGGAGAGGAGTACTAAAAACTCTTCAACTTTCACATTGTGGCTGTGTCACGGAAGCCATGCCCTAATACAACCCTTGAGGGAAAGTCCTCCTCAAAGTGACCCAGGCAGGTGGGTCTCTGGCTGGCTGTCCAGATCTTTTAGCTGCTGGAGACAGTGGTTACCAGCTAAGTGACACAGTTTCATTCTAAACAGTGACCATTCAACTTTATCTCACATTAAACCTCCACTCTAGTTCATCGGTCTGCTTTATGTTCTTAGAAGGCACTATGCAAACACACTGCCATTCACTCATTGTTATTTTGGGTAGCTGTGATGTCCCGGGCACACTGCTGGGCACAGGGATAGACCCATCTTCTGCCCTTGGGTGCTGACCTCCCACAGGGGCCATGTCATTCTCAGCTACTGTCTGCTGGGCTCAGTAAGTGGCTCAGTGCTAAGTGGCTCCACTAGTCCCTGCATTTGGAGGCTCCTTTTCCATCTCCACTGGTAGAAAAGCCTGCGTGTCCTTTAAGGACCAGCTCAATGACATTCTCTGATCCTCTCAACCGGATTGATTTCTCAGAGCTCAAGAGCTCTTACTGATGGTGCCTCTCCTCAAACACCATCCTAGGATTCTAGTTATTTTTTTCTTCTGTCTCATGACCCAAATTAGTTCTTTACCCCTTGAGGGTTGGGAGTGTATTTAGCAGTTTCCTCCTTATCAGGGGTGGAATAGGTACCAATGAATAAATCTAGAAATTTTGTTTTAGCCACTTTGATTTGTATGACAGGGAACATGTAGTGTAATAGAGCTGTGAGCTGGTCTCGATTGAAGCATGGATTGATGTGGGTGTACAAATAATGTCACTAGTGCCTAGTTTCTCTGCTTCCATTTTTTGACTCTATTTCCTCTGGTTTGGCTCCATTTTCAAATTTCCCAGATATCAGAGCAAGTTGGCCCCAGCAACTCCAGACCTGACATCTTCTCAGGTGACAGCCAGCATAGTAAAATATTTCAAGTTGCTGAGAGATAGCCGAAACAGGTCCCAGAAGCTCCTGGACAAGGAACAAAGCCAAACTTGACTCACACAGACAAGGCCAGGGAAATGGTGTTCCCCAAGAGCAGGGAGCCCACGCCTCCTTTTTTGCCTGCAACTGTCCTCTTTAAGCACCAAAAGATCTGCACCCTAGGAAGCCCCCAGGTCCTGGGAAAATTGGGGCAGTTGGTTGCCCTACCAAAGCAAACTAAGGAGGTGGGCAAAGGGATGCTGGGTGGCCGATAAGCAACAAATGCCCCCAGTATTGGAGAGAGGTGAGCAGCTTTGAAGAAGTTCCAGTATTTGTACAGGGCAGTATTTGTCCAGGGCTGGTTTCACTGACTTCACTAAGGTAAAATTATAGGAAGTCTACTCTGAACTTACAAATCTCACTTGTTCTTTCCTAAACATTTATGAATACCTGTTTAGAGTTGAGATTCCTTCTGTTCTCATAACATGGGGGGATTGGGTCTCAAAGATGATGATGTATTTTGATCAAATCTTTTAGCTGCATAGTGGGGGGAAAATCATTGTGAGATCTCTCAGTTTCCACAGGAGTGACCTGCTTTGTTTGACTGGCAGTCCGTGCTGGAATACCACCTGGGAGAGAGGCTAGTTAATTTTCCTGGTGCTAGGAACTGAGCTATTTTACATATTGGCCAATGAAATCCTTATTTGGCACATAATAGGTGCAAAAACAGTGCCATAGCTAACAGTGTCTCTCCTTTGCTGTGTGCCAGGCAGTCCTCTGGAGTGTAGTTAGTATGTACCATGCATGCCCAATGCCTGGCAACCACCTCAGGCATAGAGAAGACATGAAATAATTATATCAAATGAATACATGAATTAGAATTTCCCAGATTTTATTCAGGAGTCCTAAGAATGCATCTAGAATTTGGCCTAACCTTTCAATAACTAAACTTTTCCCTCCAAGTTTCTAGATCTTCAAAATTAAGTATTAAAGGAAACGAGTAAATGCTTGTAAGCTTCTTTGACCATCTGAATAAGGCTGTATTTCCACTGCACAGTCTCCAAGTTCTCTAGCAGAAGGGCCCAGTGTGATAGGTACCAACTTGCCCCCTTTGCAGTGGCTACCACATATGTCCTGGATACTCAATGCAGCGACTGCACACCGGCCAGACCCCGGAAGTAGTTGTGGATTTGGTGACTGAACCAAATGCCTGATGAGCTCAGGAACAAGATTCAGACTGTGCCTGAGGACTAGCAATCCCCCTCAGCTTCTCACCGCAAGGTGGCTGCAGGCCAGCCCAGAGTTTAGGCCTACTGAGGAATAACAGCCTGGAGAATAGAGCTTGATTCACCCCGTCTCCCAGTGAACACTAAGAAATGTTCAAGATTTTGCACATCGTAAACCATCAATGTGGTGGATTGAATGTTTGTGTGACCCCCTCCCCCACAAACTTCCTATGTCGAGACCCTAAGCCCCCAGGCGAGGGTGTTAGGAGAAGGAACCTTTGAGAGGCGATTAGGTCCCCACGTGGAAGCCCTCCTGATGGGGCTAGTGTCCGAATGAGAAGAGAAGTGATAGAGCCTGCTTCCTTTCTCTCTGCTCGTCATCCTGTGAAGACGCAGCCAGAGGACAGCCACCTGTGGACCAGGAAGAGGCCTTCACCAGAGCCCAACTGTGCTGGCACGCCGATCTTGAATTTCTAGCATCCAGAACTGAGGAATAAATGTTTGTTGTAAGCCACCCAGTCCACGGTATTTTTGTTAGAGCAGCCTGAGCTAAGACTGAGTCTCTAGAAGGCTGGGCTGGGGAGGGGACGAAGGAGGTGGAAGGAACACAACCCTGTCCCACACAGGAACGGCACAGGTGAGGGGGCCTTCTGCCCCTTGGCAGCGTCCGCAGTCCGCAGGCACGACCATCGCGGCTTTACCTGTCAACGCAAGGTCTGGCGCCCGCGACCTGCACTTCCACAGCGGGCGCGACCCTAGCTCCTGCTCTGCTCGCCCTCTCCCTGAGTTTCTCAGTCTCCACAGTTAAGCAGTCCTCGCTGCATGTCCTCTGTGTCTGTGGCCGTCCTTCAGTCACCTCGCAGACCCATCCGTGACTACTGGGTGGGGCAAATGCGATTTCAGAAACTTGGCCTCGCTGGATTTGAATATAAATACAAATCGGAGAGGCAGGAAAGCAACGCAGGCGGTTGCCCAGTAGTAAGCTGAGGTGCAGTCAGGACCAGACCCACACCCAGGTCTTCGCGTCTGCACCTGTGTCTACTGTGTGGCCACTTTCCGGGTCACCTGGCAGATGCCCCGGGCAGCGCCACCAGCCCCTCCTTTCGGTTCCTCCGGAGGCAGGAGGAGGCTGGGGTGGACCCCCAGAAAATCGCCCTTGTCCACTTTGCAAGACTGTGTGATTCCTTTTTACTGTCACAGGGACTAAAAACTCTTCTCAAAAGGTCTTTCAGGTGGCCATGACGTCACAGGCCGTTTCTGAGCAAGTGACTGAGCAGCGGAGTCAGCGAGGCGGTGGGCGCTGCCGCGGGCGGTCCCAGACGGGCCTCGCCGTCCTGTCCCCTGCCTGTGGCGCCCGCTTGGCTGAGGGCCTGCCGGACTTCACGCGGCGGGCTGGTGCGGGGTATGTGTTCCGGGGTCAGCTGTTCCCTCTGTACTTTCACATTTCCACCAAGGAAATGGAAATTCTGTTCCTCTCCGGGCGTGAGTGTAGAGTGCAGATGGGGCGGGTACGAATAAACATTTTTAGTTTCGCTCCCTGATCACCTTCCCATCGGAAATAGAAGTAGATAATCTGCTGTCGCTGCACAGAACCTGCTAATTGGCTGAGGCAAGTTCTGCGTTTGTTACGTATAAAGCGCAGCTTCTTCCAGACGTGTCACATTGGAAGTGACATGTGTCTGACTCCAGCTCCCAGCAAGTTCCTTGCGTTCCGGGAATTCTCGCCTCCTGCCTCTTAGGCCTCCCCAGGCCCGCGGGACTGCCCCTCGGCATCCGGGCACCTCTGTCCTGCAGGCTTGGGGGGGGGGGTTGGGATTCAAAGGCCAAGAGACCAGACGCACCGTTTAAGTGTTAGGCTTGTGTTCCACCTTCAAACAAGCCATAAGGAGGAGTTAGTCTGCCTTTACTGACTGACTTCCTCTTCAGCTTCCGTGTCTGTCCCACACCCAGAACACGGAAGGGAGGAGGTATGAGAGGCTGGGAAGCCACTTTATGAAAGTTTGGATTTCTGGGAACTCTTCCCCTTGGTCTTCAACCTCCAGTCTGGTAGGCCTTGGTTGCAGGCAATCTCTCCGCCACAGAACGGGTAGTTTTTTGCTAAGAAGGGAAGACTGTCACATATTTCTCAAGTTCACCACTTCACCAAGTGCTGACAACCTTCCTGCTCAAGTGAAACTTACACACATCTCATCACTCAAATATCTGCTGGGCTGTGCTGTTCCCGCACAGGATACCAGAGACCTGGAGAGAGAGCTGCGGCACTGCCGTCTGCCTTCTTGTGTGGATGGCCACGGACTGCCATGGACTGCCATGGACTGCCATGGACTGCCACGGACTGCCACGGACTGCCATGGACTGCCATGGACTGCCACTGACCGCCATTCTCCCCTGGCCAAGGAGCAGCAGAGCATCTCTGGTGAGCTCACGACCTCCTGTGGTGGCAAAGCCACACCAGCCTTTCATCTGGAGCTGCAGGACTCTCCCAGTGCTGCCCAGGAAGATGTCAGGCACCTGGTATTTTCACAACAGCCAACCAATTTATTAATTAATTATACTTCAAATGTTGGGTGCCCCTGTGTGTCAGATAATAACAATGTTACGCCAATGTGTACAGCTAGTGTTACCGCTCTTGACCGAGGAAAGAACCAAGCAGCACATGAAAAGTTGGAGAACAGCCTTTATTCTTCCACAGCAGGCTCAGCACACCTAGTGTTACAGCTCTCTTTGAGCCTTCCAATCTTCTGACTCTTTCTGCTCCCCTTCCTTGGTTTCTCCTCCTGCTTTGATACCCTTGGTAGGGCTCAAAAAGCGTCTAATCAACTACAACCTTTAACATCCAATCAACATCAAGCTTTAACATCCAATCAACAACAAGCTTTAATATCCAATCAAAAACAGTGGGATTAAAAATTACCCAATCAGGATCACTCAAGCAGCATGCCCTCCAACCGGCCACAGGCAGGACTGGCCCGCAGAGATGTGGAGCAACGGGCAGGTGGCAAGTGGCCTCCTCCGGCCCGGACATTTTCCGTATCAACAATACTAATATTTATTTGAGTGTACTGTGTAATAGACATTTTGCAAATGTTACTCTATTTTAACCTTCCTAACAAGCCTGTGAGGAGTGCGTTATGATCACCTTTTTACAGACGAGGAGGAGTACCGGATGCTGAAATAACCTTTCCAGGGTCACGTGGTAAGTAGCAGAGCAGAAATTTGGACCCAGCAATCTGTCCTGGGTCAGACCTCTTAAGGACTTTGCCACACTGCTCCAGATGATGGGCAAGGCCAGGGGAGGGTGTCGAGGGAGAGTGGAGACAGTGCAAAGACAACTAAAGCAGGAGCCCTGCATGCAAGGCAGGAGACAAATTGCAGTACAACAGCCATGACACAGATACATCTACGTGCCATACAAAGGATATGAGAGAATAGAAGGAGCAAAGATGTTATCCAGAAAGCTGTTTGTTCTTGAATGCACATTAGCCTACAAATGCACACAAAGGGTACCATCCCTTACAAATGTGTGCTCACAGGCAACCCAAAGTGTTTATTGAGTGTTTATAAAGGGTTCATGGTCACACTTGGGCAGGCATTGGATCTTTACACAAAAGACAAGGAGATACTTAGCTCCAGCTTCCAGCTCAGCACTCTTCAGTGGGAAAACTAAGGCAGGCCGTTTCAGCTAAGATAGTTCCTGACAAATATGCACTCAAGTACTTATTAAATTAAATCTATATAATAGGTGTAATACACACACAATGGGTATGTGTGCACACACACATACCTGTATACTCTTACACATATTTATTGTATGTATCTGTAGTCCCAGATTTGTGTCCATCAAGGAACAAGGTAGTAAAATATTATAGATTCTTTAAAAAACAAATAAATGAGCAAAACAATATCAGGTAAATGGTAGCAAAAGGAAACTGAATATTAATATCAGACAAGGTGGAATTCAAGTTAAAAGTACTAAACAGAATAAAAGAGGTTAAGCCAATGTTTATTTTCTTTACATAAATAGGTATATGATAAAATATACAGTTTGTAAAGAAATAATGATAGTTATAAATATATATTTACTAAAACACAGAGCAGTTAACTATATAAATCAAAAATTCAAATGTAGACTTTATAAAAATACAATTATAGTATAATATTTCCATATCTGTTTGTGTAGAACTGAACAGATGCAGCAGAACTAAGGAAATAAAGACAGAAGAAATAACTAATACAATTAGCAAACTTGTTTTTTCATTTGTCTATGGAACACTTACAAAAATCATTTATGAATTTGACCACAGAAAAGACTTTATGGATACATTGAAAAGAGCATACATTTTATATACCACCTTCTTTGATCATAAGCCCATAAACTTAGGAATAAATAATAAAAACAAAATAAAAAATAACATGCTTAGAATTTAATAAAGATACTCCTAGATATTAGCTTTAACATAATCACAGCCTAACAAGCAAATGAAAATAAAAATACTTTATTCCAAAAATCTATGAAGGGACTTTTGCTACTGGTCAGAATATAGGAAGTTGTGTGGAAATGCCATTAGTATCCTAATAATAAAAAAAAAAAATCAGAGAAGCTCCACAATATAAGTTTTTTTTATTTTTTAAATTAAGGAAATCAGTCAAACTTTTAATAAACTTTTCATAGTTGTCTCTGGGCTGGCATGAAAATTTAGAGTTCTTAGAAACCATAGGGGCAGGGGGAGTTTGCACCCAGGTGTCTTCACAGAGTCTTGGGGGAATTACAACAAGGGGTTGGGGCCAGGCAGGAGCGCTGAGCAACATCCCTCTTGAGCACCGAGGGCTCCCGTGAAGCCGGAGGCAGAGCTGTTTGAAAGCAGAAAGCTGTGCAGGAAAGCGGAGAGGAACCGGTTTGAAGCCTTCTGGTCACTTTAGGATTACTGAGAGTAGAGGCAGCAGAACTAAGAGAATGTCCAGAGACGCTCTGAAAAAAGGTACTATTAACAGCTTAAAGTAAAAACGATGATGCGTATTGTGTGTTTTAGGGAGCCTATATAAAGGGTGGGACAAGAAGAGCATAATGGGCAAGAGGGAGGACATATGAAATTATATGTTTGTGAATTTCTTACATTCCTCCGAAAGTAATATAGTATTATTTAAACAGTAAACTGTGGTAACTTAAAGATGCATATTGTAATCTTTAAAGCTGTTCTGCCCACTACACTAGCCACATGTAGCTATTTATATTTACATTTTAATTAAAATGGAATGAAAGGAAAAATTCAGTTCTTGGTCACACTAGCCACAGAAACACTAAGTGCAACAACACTGGTCTGGCTCCATTCATATCACACAAAGTAGATTTTAAGACAGTGGTTATCACTAGAGGTAAGTGGAATATGTCATAATGACACAAAAGTCAACTTATTAAAAGACATAAATGTCTTATATGTGTATGCATCTAATTACAGATCTTCAAAATATGTGAAACAGAAATCTGAAAGAAGTAGAGGAACAAACTGACAGACTCATAATCAAAAGTGTAAATTTTAATACTTCTTTCTCAGTAATTTGTAGAAGCTCACAAAAAGTAGCAAGCACATAGACTATCTGAATGATCTGAATAACATTATGAGCCAACTTGACCTAATTGACATTGATAGAACAATAAGACCAACACTATGGAATATTCATTCTTTTCAAGTGCAAATAAAACACTTACGAAAACAGACAATATGCTGGACCAAAGACAGGTTTCAATAAATAGCAAAGGACAGACATTTTACAATGCTACAAAGGCATTAAAATAGAAATCAGTAGCAAAAATGTATCTGGAGAATCCCTAGATATTTGAGAATTTATCAATATGTTGCTAAATGATCCTTTGATCAAAGAGATCACAAGAAAAATGAGAAATTTTCAACCACATAATGAAAACACACTCTACATCAAGATCTGTTGGATGTCACTGAAGAAAGGCTTACGGGAAATACGTAATCTGACTTGTTCATATACAAAAGAAGATATGTTTAAAATCAATTGTCTAAGCCTCCATATTCAAAAGCTAGTAACAAGGCAACACATTATACTTAAAGTATATAGAAAAAAGAAAAAACAAATATAACAGCAGAAATTAGAGAAATAAATAACAAAGAACAAACAATAGAGTCAAAAGTTGGTTAAATGATTAACAAAAGTGATAGAAGAAAAAAGGTAACATTACCAACATCAATAATGAAAAAGAGGGGATCATTAAAAATGTTGTTAATAAATTTATGCCAATAACTTTATTGATTAGATACAATTTACTAAAACTATGAAAAAATAGAAAATTTAAATTGCCCAAATTTATTAAAGAAATTGAATTTGTAATTAAAACTCTATGGGCATAGAGAACTCCAGACTTCATAGTATATTCTATCAAGGAACAAATAATACTAATCTTACATGTAGTCTTTCAGAAAATAAAGGAGAAGAGAAAACTTCCAAGTTTGTTTTATGAGGCCAGCATAGCCTTAATAACCAAACCTGACAAAGGCATGAGATATTAAAATTACAAAACAATATACCTACAATATTAGCAAATAAATATTAGTGCTATCCATGCAATATCAGCAAATCAAACACAGAATAATGTGTACCACGACCCAGAAATTCTATTAATGTAACTATTTCCTCAAGAGTAATACAGATTCTGTATATAAATGACTTGTTTAAAAAATACTTACTACAGCCTTAATTACTATAGCCCCAAACTGGAAACAACCAACATACCTATCAGTAGGATAACAGATAAACAAATTAAGATATATTCATACAATGGAATAGTATTCATAAATACTGACAAGTGTTGATTGATACAGGTGGCAAAATGGACGAATTTCAAAAACATGCCACTGAGCAAAAGAAGAAGAAAAAAAGGTGTGTTCTGTGTGAAACTGTGTAAATGAATTCCTAGAATATACAAAATTAATTCATGGTGACAAAAATTAAGAGTGGTCGCACCTGGTGTGGGAGTGGGGGCGGGTGTCGGCTAGAAAGGGCAAGGAGAACCTTTCTGTGGTCTTGCATGCTCTATGTTTATTTTGGGCAGTGCTATATGGGTGCCTATGATTGTCAAAACTTATTGAAACTGAACATTTATCATCTTGGCACTTTACTGTATGTAAATTTTACTGTAATTTAAAAAAACCTTTTTTTCAAATTGACGAAAAATAATTGCACATATTTATGGGGTACAATGCGATGTTTTGATATTTGTTTACAATGTGGAATGATTGAATGATTTTTTGTGTGTGGCGAAAACATTTCAAATATACTCTTTTAGAAATTTTGAAATATACAATACGTTATTATCTGTTATAGTCACCATTCTGTGCAATACGTCACTACAGCCATTCCATCTGTCTAACCGAAACCTTCCACTTTTGATCAGCATCTCCCTTTTCTCCATCCACTCCCCTCTGTCAGCCTCTGGTCATCATGCTGCTTTCTACTTGTATGAAATCAAGGTTTTAGATTCCATACATAAGTGAGATCATGTGGTATTTGTCTTTCCGTGCCTGGCTCATTTAACTTAGCATAATGTCCTCCAGGTTCATCTACGTTGTCACAAATGACAGGATTCCTACCCTCTTTAAAGCTAAATAACATTCTGTTGTATATATACACCCCATTTTCTTTATTAATTGTTCTGATGATGTACACCTAATTTGCTTCCCTATCTTGGCTATTATGAAAATGCTGCAATGAACAGGGGAGTGCAGACATCTCTTTGTCATACTGATTTCAACTTCTTTGGATATAGAGCCAGAAGTGGGATTACTGGATCATATGGTAATTCTATTTTTAGTTTTCTGAGGAACCT